AATGAGCTAGGTTCGGTTCGGAACTTTGCCGTAGGGATATGCTGAAGAGTACCGAAAGCATGTGTGGTTAATATGAAAAGTAAGTTAAGGGACAACGTTGAACCCCTGTGGTAGCCGGACGGGCCCGGATCCCAGAAAAATATTTAAGCGGGAAATAGCCTAGGTCAATACCTTTAAAATGAGCTAGGTCCGGTTCGGTACTTTGCCGTAGGGATATCCCCAGGAGTACCGAATATGTGGTCAATATGGAAAATTCGATATAAGGGCAACTTTGAACCTCTGTGGTGGCCAGACAGGCCCGGATCCCAGAAAAATATTTCAGTGGGGAATAGCCTGGGGCTATACCTTTGAAATGAGCTAGGTTCGGTTCGGAGCTTTGCCGTAGGGATATGCCGAAGAGTACCGAATGTGTGGTTGGTATGGGAAATACGTAAATGGGCAACTTTGAACCTCTGTGGTGGCCAGACGGGCTCGGATCCTAGAAAAATATTTAAGTGGCGAATAGCCTCTGTTCAACGTTGTCCTTTAAAATTTCAGTTTAAAATTAATGAATTGGTTATGATGCATGCCGTACAAAATAGTCCACGTAGGATCTTTGTGAAAATACTTGTTCACATTACAAAAGAGATAACCATTACATGTTTTCATTTGATATATACAGAAATTGATATTAAAATGGTTTCAACTAAAATACTGGATATTTGAGGATGCAGGGTATATGGAAAGCATGTATGTAATTTTTCTATCGTGCATTGCATCTTTTTCATTCAGTCCAAATTGGTTGGAATTATATATATATCACACGATTCCTCACAACTTACTTAATTCTATTATCAACAGTGGAAATTGTACTTTGATTTCTTATCTGTTTTCTATTCCTACATTGTTTTTGTAACTCCTTATCATAAGAAATCAGAAACGAGAAAAAGAACGAAAACAAAAAGCGATTTTTAATTGTAAATTGGACAATTTTTTATTAAACAAACAGTGTCCTCCGAAAAAAGTGGCTGCTATCATTATTGGTATTCAAAACGTATTGAAATGCTTTGAGAATCAGTAAAAGCCGTAAAATTGTCGAATTCCGCTGTTAAATTATATTTAATTAGATTTTGAGATTTTTGGAACGACTGAGTCTCATACAGTTTTTTGGTTTTTAGACATAATTATCATCAAAACTGGCTGCTGGAAAAAAGTGGCTGCTATCTTGATTGGCTGCTAAAAGTGGCTGCTATCTTGATTGGCTGCTAAAAGTGGCTGCTATCTTGATTGGCTGCATAAAGTGGCTGCCAGCTTGAGATCAAAACTGGTTGCTGGAAACAAAGTGGCTGCTATCTTGATTGGCTGCTAAAAGTGGCTGCCAGCTTGAGTCTGGTATCCAGTGATGAGGTATCAACCAATGGTAGATAGCTATAGAAAATTGATGCGCATGCCTTTATACTAGACACGTGTTTCTAGAACAGTCTATATCAGGTTAGCTCAAGGTCGAATGTAAACCAGTTTGTGACCATAAAAACCAAAATTGGCCTTAACATTTGTCTAGTCTCTACTGACCAAGGATGAACTGAAAATTCTACTCCTTAAAAGCAAGAATGACACGTCAAAAATGACCTATGAAGGATCACATACCTTTGAAGAATCCCGAAGACAGTAGAAATCAATTTGAAAAACAGAATGCTATGTTGGAAAAGACTATAGAATCCTTTGACATTTTTCATTGCTGTTAAAAGTAAAAAGTAAAAGTGCATAATCTTCATTATTCGTTTCGAATTCAATTTAGTGGTGAATTCATCAAGCAACCGAAATATTTCGTTAACATGTACAAATAAAGGAATTGTTAAGCAAGGGGGGGAAGTTCTGGGGGTTGGAACCCCCCTTTTTTGACGATCATGGCATTTGAATGGGGACATATAGTTGGAACCCCCCTCACCCCTTTATCCTATGTTTGGACCCCCCCCCCCCCCCTCTTTAAAAAATGGCTGGATCCGCCCCTGGAGATCTCAATATTAACAAGCCACAAATATGAATGTTTGACGAAAAGATTACACAGAATTAACTTTCTTGAAACATCGAATTGTTCCTGGAGTAAATCGATGTTTTTATTTCCTGACTTAAGACTAAATAAGAAATTTAGAACTGGATGCGTATACTTAAAGATCATTTTCAATATCAAATCGATCAATTTGTTTATGAGATCATCATCATGTATGGGAAAGAAAAAAAAACAGTTAACATATCGTAGGGCCTTGAGTTGTTTTTTTTTTAATCTCTAAGATTTTTGTACTTGTTTTAATTATGAATAAAATTGGTGCGATTTATAAGTCAATGACAGCAAACGAACTACACGAAAAACCAGAAGACATCTAGAAGTCATTATACAGTCTTCCACAACAGACAGTTGTCTTAACAAATGTAAAAACAGACTCGGTGTTTTCGTGGTAGGGTGCTTGTCTCGAGTGTGAGAAGTCGTGGGTTCGATATCCGACTGGTTCAAACCAACGACTTGAAAATTAGTATTTGCTGCTTCTCCGTCAGGCTCGTGGCATTTGTGAGGAGTAAGAGCAAATATTGCCCAACTCGGGGTCAGAATAATGTCTCATGTTAGGGTGACATGTCATTCTGCTATTACCATTTGACATAGCATGCAAAAAAAAAACTAATCCATCATCATCATTAAAATATGTCAAGCTCTAAATCGCTCCAATTCTAGAATGATTTGTGAATAAGTTCAACAGTTGCTATCAAAGATCTGTGATCAACACCAAATACCCCCCCGAAAAAAATACAAGTTTAGTGGCCAGCTGAAGCCCGCCTCTGGGTGCGGGATTTTCTGCTGTGTTGAAGACCCATTGGTGGCCTTCGGCTGTTTTCTGCTCTTTGGTCGAGTTGTTGTCTCTCCTACCTTTAGACAGGCAAATGTACAAGCTGCATGATTAAAAAAGATTTCTGAGATAACAACCCTCGCCCTTTTAATAAAAGAAGGCACAATAACAATGTTGGAAAAAAAAAGTAAAATAACAAAATACCAAACTCCAAGGAAAAGGTAAATCGGAAAGTCCCTTATCAAATGGCAAAATTAAAAGCTCAAATACATCAAACGAATGGAAAACAACTGTCATATTCCTGACTTGGTACAGGCATTTCTTATGTAGACAATGGTGGATTAAACCTTGTTTTATAGCATGGAAATGCACTTTACTCTATATATATATAATTACGGCATTATAGATATCAAAACACAAGTTCAAGTCAAACAACAAATTAATCCTTAAAATTTTATTTCTCTAACTATTTCCAATTTATGTTTGCCTAGTTTCTAAGTATTTACATTTTCCCTTCAAGTAAATACCATAGCTACATGTATAGTTTTTACTTAGAAAAATGTTAAAGCCTAACGAAGAGCACCATTTACTTATATTATCTAGTCTTGTTATATTTTTCTGTAAAGACTAAATGCATAACCTGATTTTTTATATAGTAACGTCATCTGCAAATTGTGAAATTTTACAATTTTGTAAACAAATTGATTAATCATTGACCATAATATTAAATAAAGTGGACTAACACAATTCCTTTGAGAGGTACAATTCCTAGATTGTTCAACTCTACACAATACACGCAATGGTTGATGAAGTTATGTACCAACTCGTTTTTAGTCTACTACCCAAAAAAAGTGAGCAGACATACGCCCGCTTATTCAACTTGCTGAAGACTGCTTGTCAACAACATCAACTCCAACTAGCACCATAGATATTCTTTACTGACTTTTAGACAGTTACATGTATCCATTATTCCGCCCAAAGAGCATTCGCCAACATTACCTTATGAAGCTGATTTGTCCACTACACTAAATAATTGCTTCCCAGATACTATATTAAAGCAATAGGCTAACTATATTTGGTGTATGGTATGATTGTAAAGTGTAAAGGGTTCATCTGACCTTGACCTCATTTACATGGGTCATTAATGATGTTGCATTGAGTTTATGTGATATTTGTAGCAAAGCCTTCATATTACAGACTCTCAACATAAATTAAATCATGATAAGTATAAGGCAAGACATGTCAGCGTGTACACACTTGTTTATTATTTATATAAAAATAAGGAGATGTTGTATGATTGCCAATGAGATAACTATCCACCAAAACCTTATTTAAGCTTAAATTAAAGTTTTTAATTTATTTGTATAATCTATTAACGTACCCGCAATTTAAACCAATTTGTCTGTGCTTAATTTTAATAGATATGTTTGTGCATAATTTTAATAGATATAAGAAGATGTGGTATGAGTGCCAATGAGACAACTCTCCATCCAAGTCAAAATTTATAAAAGTAAACCATTATAGGTCAAAGTACGGTCTTCAAAACGGAGCCTTGGCTCACACCGGACAGCAAGCTATAAAGGGTCCCAAAAATTACTAGTGTAATACCATTCAAACGGGAAAACCAACGGTCTAATCTATATAAAAACGAGAAACGAGAAACACTTATGAACCACATCAACAAACGACAACTACTGAACATCAGATTCCTGACTTAGGACAGGTGCAAACAATTGCAGCGGGTTTAAACGTTCAGTTAATGGTACCAAACCTTCACCCTTATCTGAAACAATAGTGTAACATAACAACAGACTTTATAGTGTATTTGTCCATCAGTGCTACGTTATGAAATTGTGGATAAGTTTATACGATTGTAAAATAGTTATTATTTTTTCCAATTTTGACTTTTTTTCAATATTAATCCGTCAGATCATTCAAAATTAATTTGAGCTGTAACTCCATTTACAGATACATTTTATTAATCCCTATTGTCCAAAATACATTTCTCCAACAAGAAACTATTTTTGCATACAAAAATATCAAATGTCGGAGATATGTGAACACACCATGCGAACACACCTAATCGATATCGTATCAAATAAAAATCGAATTTGCTGAAAAAAGCTTAAGTACTTAACCTATTAATATGGAACATGCCGTCCTACTATAAGACAAAGAAGATGACGGAAAAAAAACCGTTTTATTGAAAATTAAAACATCAATTTGTAAATGCGAATTGCATTGTGCAGATATACTACATGTACTTCTTATAGCAGTTATCGTACATATTTTGCTAAAACTTAATGGAGTAGTATTCAATCTTTGTTAAATTTATCTACTATATATAATATTCAGCTTTGTTGTATTATCATTTTTTCAGTGGTAATTCAAAATGTCATAATTACGTTTTCAAATTGTACATCAGTTTATTAAAAAAAACGAATGTTTCAGTAAAATTTGAACTGTTATAGTAAAGAGGATAACATTACATGTGTATTGTAAGAATTTGTTCACAAAAGTTATGAATATTTGATGGACGAGTACTAAGAACATTGCCTTTCATTGACAAAGAAATAACTATAAAACTATTCAATAAGTATCATCATCATTCGTTCGTCAACAATTACGTATAATAACATACTAGTATCAGATAAAACTTAATTTAGCCATCTACATTTATCAATTACAAGAAGTTCGGACCATACAAGTTTTATTTTTATTCCCGCAAATGTATTCATTGTTTGAAGTGTAAAAGTAATTTCACAGTAACATTGTCATGAATGTGTCATATTAAATTCCACGTCGCAGGAAATTACTTTTCAGATTGATTTTAAAACAAATGAAGTTTTCGCCTTCCCTGAGACTTGCATATCTCTAGAACACCATCAGTGCGACTACGTTTTAATTTCCCGTCAATGTCAGTACACTTATCATTGCTTTCAGTCTTATTAATCTGTATATTTCCCATGCACGCACTTTGCCGTAAAGCAGTACATGATTTTCCTCTTAATGTTCCTTTCTGTAATGGTTTTGACTTATCACTATGTTTGTGGAATAATACTGGAACATCGATTTCCAAATGCAGTTTATGGAGACTTAGCGAACGCAGTTTTAATGGTCCTTTATCTTCATGTCGTCTTGTTAAAAATTGTCTAAGAAGAAGAGAAAAAGCTTCTTGTATTCCTTTGTCCTCTTTTGCTGATGTTTCTACAAAACATCCTCCAAGATTCTCACTACACGCCCAGTTCAGTGCATCAAATGTTTCGACTTGTCGATCGTTTTCCTGATCCAAATTGTTTCCTATGATCAGACACGGAATGTCAAGAATATTTGGTCGAACTTGTTTAATCCGTTCCCAAAGTGTTTTTACTTCGCTGAAAGACGCTTCGTCTTTGATAGAATAAACAAGAACAAAAGCTTGTGCTTTTGAAATGTACAATTGTCTCATTGCAGGAAATGCAATATTTCCAGCAGTGTCTAAAAGGTTAATATTAAGGCGCTTACCGTTCTCATTGAATTGATAGGAATATATTTCCTCAACAGTTTCGATGTAATTATCTTGAAAAGTTCCAAACATAAATCTCTGCAGAATTGATGATTTACCAACGCCACCAGCACCAAGAAAAGCTACCTTTGGTCTTTCATTCATGTTGATACTACAAGTTGTTTTGGTTCATTGCATCAGAAGTAAACATTCAATAATTGCTGCGACTGTTAAGGACGGATAGAATTGGAATCGCGATGTATTGATTCTATTAGCAGTAACTGTTGATTTTATGCTATAGAGTCACATGGTTTCAGATCTTACGTCACGAACAGATCAAATTATCAATTGTTGATATAGATTAGATGGAGAATTTGACTGGAAAGAGTATTTGTCCACACAATAACTACGTGCTCATAACCATAAACAAAAATGATCTAACTTCTTTATTCTATTAACTACTGTAACGGTTTTTATATATTTTTTATACCATAATTATATCATTGTAAAATGATCAATCGTATCCTAGAAAACAGTAATATTGTATTTTCATAGCATAAGCTTGCATTTTTGCCTAAACTACATCAATTGGAACGCTATGAATAACATACTTTTCTTATCTATTTGAGCAACTGCAGTTAGTATATCAACAGTAGAAATTTTGAAACACAAATTGAAAATGTTCTTTGTAGAGGTTTTTGAAACTTTTAGTTTTTGTTTTTTGATATAATTTATGTAAATTGACAGTTGCAATGGACTCTCTTTACAGGCGAAATAGAAGGATGGCCATGCATTCTTTTGGTTTTAATTTATAAAACTGAATAAAAAGAGTTTCAGGCACACACAGCTGTCTGACTGTTATTTTTAAAAAGTAGCGAAGTCATAAAATATTGGTATTATCACGGGCGCAAGACATTTGGGCGAAATCAAAAGCGTGACTATGGTACAGAATCATTTGGGATAAAAATCTTAAAGTCATTTTTCCATTTGGGCTTATTGTAATTTGTTTTACATGTACAGGTTAAGTTTATCTATATCAATATTCGATATGAAATATTTTTTAAGATATTTGTTAAAAAGATATTTTAAGATAACAACTTAAATAAAAATCTGGTCCTTTGGGAAACGATGCTAGTTTAAAAAGATTAGAAGTTTTACACAATTTAAAGGAAATGAATTTACTGTTTAGATCAGTCAGAGTCACAATATTACTATTTTTAAAGGCTGTAAGCTTTCATGGCCTGAATCAATCTTTGAGAAAAATCTTTTGAGTGTACTTTTTATATCTTAAAATAGCTTTGTTATACGTGCACGTTGTACATAGTTATGAGGGTCTAGATGGGGGTTCTCATTTCTGTATTCTTTTACTTTTTATGCTATGTTTCTCTGTTCTCTTTTTGATATGTAAACACCATCTAGATCCTCAATTAAATGTTTTACAATATGGTAGCTAGGCTATTAAGAATTATCTTGCTCAAAATCCCACATCTATTTCCGCTGTGAGCAGGAAACAAACATTATTTGGCAAACGGAAGAGAATATGACCTGTCTATTTGGACAGTGAAGTGTGAAATTAGTTTTTAAACAACATTTTATTAATTCAATTGTTTTATACTCTATTCTCATATTTGGCATATATTTCATTTCATATTTCATTACTCAGAACTTTGTTTTTTACGCGGATTAGGTGTCATAATCTTTGACAAAGGACTGAATTTCAATTGTTCTATTCATTTCATTGTTTTTCTGTATGACAGGTTGGACAATAATTTACAAATACTTGTTGGACACTAATTGCCCTTTTAATCATTGTTATTTCTATTTGGCATCTGTTAATCTCTTTAATCCTCTGTTATTGTTGATACATGTATGTTTCATTAGATTAAGGATGGAGTTTGTTGCTTGGTGTTACTGGACTGCTAAAATAAAAATTTAAGGAGCGAATATTCCTTCTTGATTTGATATAGTCAGATTGCTATATAACCCGATTATAGGGTACACAAAACAAGTACATTTTACAAGTAGAATGTCATTGATTTCATATCGATTATAAAATTAAATTAAATATATAATCTAACTATAGATATTTTAATGTAATTGACCTGAACATGGGAGGATTAGCCCAGATACCAACTTGCATATTCTGTTTTTCGTTTATCGTTTTGTACATCAATCAGGCCGTTAGTTTTCTCGTTTGAATTGTTTTACATTTGTCATATTGGGGTATTTTATACCTTGCTATGCTGTATGACTTTTGATAATTGTTGACGGTCGTGCGACGACCTATTATAATAGTTGCTATCATTTGGTCTCTAGTGGAGTTTTGTCTCATTGGCAGTCATACCACATCTTCTTATTTTTATATTGTCATTGACCCGAAAATAACATAGTTTTAGCCCAAATGTTACTTCAAGAAGCCCAAACGTACATCTCCAATTATCGCCTATGCTGGCAAAACTTACCCCATAAGACAGATCTCATCGATTATAAGATTTAAAATATATAAAGGGAATTTTATTTTGTTGAAAAAATTAGTAACATTTGAAGGGTAAAAGTAATGTTAATAGGCGAGTGATATTTTTCAAAAAGACGCCTAGTTAACGACTTTAATGCACCCACCTAACATACGGCTATATTATATATCATTCGAAAGCTTATTACCTGTACTTTCTGTTTTGCCCGGTCGTCAATAATTCGTACGGTGCAATTTTCGTTAAATCAAGGTCAAAGGTTAAAATTGAACATTCTTAAATTTTACCAGATTTAAACAGAATGCCATTTTCTGATACTTGTATTGAACTTTTTTTCTAAAAATGATCTAAACCGTATAAAACAAATTACCATAATTCCAAATCAAATGCAAACTTAAATGTTGATTGCGCTATATTTACAGAAAATTGCATTTCTTAAAAAAACTTCCAAAATGATAAAATTGCAATAAAATCTTAATGTTTTTCTGAATTTTGAATATTTGTATGTCAAAAATAAAATAGATTTATCGTTTATAGGCCGAGGGAATTTTTTTATCATTTTAAACTGAAATTATATGATATAGGTCAAGATGCAGCCTTCTAATGAAGCTTTTGCAGTTGCCCTAAAAAACACCATCTGCAAATGTGGATCATTTTGCTTTGATTGGCTAGATAATATTGCCAATATCGGCAGATAATGATCAACCATATTAAAAAAAAAGGGTATTGGAAAAATTTTAAAGAAAAAAAAAGTTTATTTGATAAAAAATAGTTTTCCGATGTGGAAAGACATGTTACGAAATTTATTCTCGTTCAATATTCGAATGAAAACTGTTTGTACCATGCGCTTTTCAATATCATATCCAGCGAATTCCTTTTAATGTTATACCATTATTATATACTTTATTAGTTGTTTTATTAAAAATGACTGAAAATTAATAATTCAGATTAATCAAGATTGAATACTCTTCCAGTGAGCAACTGTTATCACCATACTGGTTTATGTAGTGTTCGCACATTTCGGTATATTTTGTTTGTCTGTCCTACTTTTTCGCCTTGGTCATGCTGTCATCTGTTTTTCTTCGACTATGGTTTGAGACTGCCTCCTTGTTATTTTATTCTCTCTCTCTCTCTCTCTCTCTCTCTCTCTCTCTCTCTCTCTCTCAATTCACATATCCATCTGGAGTCAGTTTCACAAAACAACTTACGACTAAGATTGATCGTAAGTATACTGAATTGTTCATGACTTACGACCAATCTTAGTCGTAAGTGCTTTTGTGAAATCGACTCCAGTTAGTCTAAACAAATTGTAATAAGCAATATTCCTCCGACATTGCTTGGTAGAATTAAGGAAGTTCAAAGTGCACATATGGAGGTTATACGTGAAGGAATTTGTTTCATAATAGACATATTCAAATAGAGTTAAAAATAGTAATCTCTTAAAATTTACCAGAGCATACCTGCTTTCAAGCTATGTCATAATATTAATCCCAATCTTATTAAAATGTAGATCTCTGATTTCGTTATTCTCATATGATAAATGAGCAGGCGAGTCGTGATAGATCTGAATTGTAGTCAGATTGTTTTAACCCATGTTTTTAACACTTAAACATAACATTTTGTACGTTTTTTTCCTGAACTTATATATCACTTATTATTGTTGTGAGATCTTCACACCATTAGAAACCCGAACGGAAAAAATATGAAAATAAAGTGAGAAAATCACCAAAAGTCGCTGTCAGATCAACAACAGAGGGCTCAGTGCACAATAAATATCTACAAACAAATCTTAAGATTAGATGACATGAAACCAATTAAAAAACTGGATAAATAAAGGCAACAGTAGTATACCGCTGTTCAAAAGTCGTAAATCGATTGGGAGAAAACAAATTTGGGTTACAAACTAAAACCGAGGGTAATACATCAACATTAAGAGGAAAACAACGAAACAACAGAAACACTGAAGTGCAACAAAAAAAACCCGAAAAAACAACAATGCAACATACATAGGACCGACCGACTGCCACTGGATAATTTCAACCACAATTTTCATTTCTCACAATTGTATAGATATTTTAGAATAAAATAACTTCATTTTAACCATATTTATTCTTAATGTACATGTACTATCTTTATGTTAATATGCCAATGTCCAACCAATGCTTAACAGATGATTTACTAAAATTGTGCTCCTTTTTCTAAATGCCTAAAAATATTATGTGGCACATCTACATTGGAATTTTAATGCAAAAGCATGGCAAAATAGATTTTAAATAAAAGTGGTTCAAATGCATTCACATTTCTGTTTCTATTAAGCAACTTTACTACTTGTAACATTTAGCTGAAGTAAACATCAATATCAAAACTGCTTTGTTTTGTAAGATGTTGCCTACTTTTACAAAATATAATTGATGCTGATTGGTAGATTTGTGTTGTGACACATACACAGTAATTTCATCCTTGATACTAATAGCCATAACTAATGTATTGTTGATGGGGATTGCCAGTTTCCCTGCCAAAGGTCGGTGGTTCCTTGGGCACTCCGTGGGCCTAAACCAATAAAAACTGATCGCCACTAAATACTTTAGTAGCCAATAGTGCTGAAAATTGCGTCAAACACTAACAATTCATCAATCATCTTTATATTACAATGTATGTATATGTAAACTATTCAGGAAGTGTATGTATTGTTATTGCAAATAGCTAGAATTTCCATCTAAAAAAAAAATGTAAGTAAATATAATTGCGAAAGTCTCAATTTATTCCAAGAATTTC